CCACAAATGACAAATGCGTGGTTTCTAAATTACTGTATATTGTTCTACAGAAATGACTAGAATATATATAGCAAGGGGATATTAAGAAGTGCGTAAACTCAGTTCATACTGTATTTGGATTAGGTGGGTTCTGCAGAAGTGAAATAAACAATGTTAGCAAAGCAGTCCAGAGATGTGGTCTGCTGTAATTGTAGCAAATCAGAAACCTGAATAGTGCTAATTAAAATTAGAGTGCTCAATTGTTACAAAAGAAACACTGTTAACAGAGAGCTGTCAATGTTTAGACAGCCCTTGTGAATCACTAAATAAAGTAAAAAGGACAAAAAAGAGAATTAAGTTGTGTGACAGCAGTACTGCCACACATCTAAAAAATACTTGTGATCTTCTCTTTTCAAGAGAAAATGGGAGGCTATGAAAGACTGCAAAAAGAGAAAGAAAAATACCATGGCCTGACAGCAGTGTCAAAAATAAACCAGAAGGATGTGCAGATCATAATGCATTTAGCTGCCCAAACATGGGCATTTAATTTATAGAAATGATTTAGAATTGCAACAATTAGATACTCAGCTATGAATCTCCATTAGTATGGTCTTTGTCACTGGCAAACTTGGGTAGGAGTGTTGTTTATTTTTTAATATAACAGTATAGGAGTTCCTGGCCAAAAATACTTTTATGAGAAGCAGGATGATATCTTTCAGCTTTTAACAGAAACATGATGTGAAAGGAAAAACAAAAACCAAAGCCTTAGTTATCAGAAATAAAAAGGATGAGTTCTTCCAAAATATACTTAAATTTATATATTGCATAAAAGATATAAAAATATAAAGTGACTAACGAGGAAATAAAACAAGTCTAGAAAATTATTACAATGGGCAATACTGACTGACATAATATTTACGTAGTTTAAGCAGTAGATTTTCCTCTGAAGAGATGAGCTACCATCTCTTCACTTCATTACTCGGTCAAATACTGTTAAAGAGGCGGAAAGGAAGGGGAATTTGTTAGGTTGCATAAACACTGACTCAAGCTTCACTCTTTCTTCCCCAAACTGGTCTAGGCACAGTTCACTGTACTCCAACAAACTATTCCTGTGACACCCAAACTACCCTTATCAACAACTTCTCTGCAGTGATGATGAAAAGAAAACCTGTTTGGCTGGAAAATGCCAACATCACTGGCCTTTTAGGCATATGATGTGCCTACCGACCTTCCTGGGATTCCCAAGAGTGAAGGCTGCCACACTCAGAGAAATGGACTCAGGCCTAGCCCCTGCCATGGAGGCAGTGAGCAATGCCTAAGGTCTCGTTACAAATAGTAAAGCGTGCTGTACGCTGGATGCGAGCATTCTGAAGTGCAATGTTCAAGAAGCTGGTTTAATATATGACTAAGTGTCAGAAGTCAGGTTTTCTGAGAATTACTTTTCAGATAAACAACTTTATAGCACTGCACTTAATCTTACTTACTGGGGACAACTCATTTATCACCGAATTACAAGTAACTTTAATTCTATTGATATTGCCATAAAGCCCGCTGGAAATCCAGCCAGGCACTTTTAAAGGGTTTGGGGGCCCATAACATTCCATTGCCTGCTGAAGGTCCCCTGCCCAGAATAGACCACGAGCTTCTGTGCCCTGTCTCTTGCTTCTTTGTCTAAGGGGACCGTAGGGGAAAAGGACTCCCGAATCGGCCAGCCTTTTCTTCAGCCTCATTTCCTACAAGGTCGGCTTCTCGCGCCGCCACGGACAACTTTATGCGCCGGTTTTCCTCCTCCCGAAACGCTTGGAAACCAGCGTCTTTTCTCTTCATCAAACAAAACTGGACACAGATCAATTTCAACTGACCTTTGCCGAAAGGTGGCGCTGTCGAGGTAAAAACCAACTCCGTCCAACAATAGTTTCCACTCTTCCATCCTTTTGCAGGCTTTTCTGAATTTTTTTTTTTTTTTATGCGCTCTCCTATCGCCGCCCCCTCCCGTAAAGAAAAATAAATATGATTAACACCAAATGCATTTAATTAATTGGAGGAATCAACGGTCCCGACTTCCAAGCCGGCGGGCTGGTCTTGCACACGTTGGATCAGCTTCGCGCGCTCTTGGCTTTCCCCAAATAAATCTCAGCTTTTCCGACTGGCCTATCACTTTAAAATCTTAGAAACTGTTGTTGGTTTCCTTCTTTTTTCTCTTATTTTTCTTTTTTGCTTCTTTGCATAAGCTTTAAAAAAAAATCGATGTAGAAAATGGAATTCATTATAGCATCTGCGAGGGGGAGGGGAAGCCGCCCCCCCAGCCCTCCCCACCCCCACCCCGGGTTTCCGGAGTTGTCCGAGAAACCGCGGTTTAAAATTTAACCCTTCGAGGGGAGCCTGTGAGGGCTGGGGTGTTGTTTTTCCCCTAGTTCCCCGCCAGGATCAAGCCCTAAATAATTAAGTGAAACATAAAAGAGCAAAGGGCGTGCGGGACCCTGATAAACAGGGGTCAGGTTTCATAAGTGGGTGGGGATGGATGAGTGTGTAAATGTGTGAGTGTGTGTTTGAGAGAGAGAGAGACAGAAAAAAAAAAAAAAAAACTCAAAGGCCAAACTCGGGCCACTCTGGAGCCAGAGGGCTGAGCCCGGCTGACCCGGCTCTGAGCTTTCCCGAAGTTAACTCGCAAAGGCGCTCGCTCTCCCAAGGCACGCGACTCCAGTGGGCAGCCAGCCCCGCACGGAATGTCCCCAGAACAAGTTATTTCACCTCTTTAGGTGGGGGGGGGGAGGGAAAGGGAAATCAACTGAGCTTGCTCCCTGGGCTCACTCCTCAAAACCCCAGGAGACGCGCGGCGGGGCGGGGTCCCGCGCGCAATCCTGAACCCCCGCACCCTCCCAATGCCTTCCCTCGCGCGCTGGCGGTCCGCAGAGGGACAAAGAGTTGGGGCGCCGGTCTGAGTTCCTGGCACCGCCAGGCTTGGGAGAGAAGGTCTCTCGCGCGGACACCGGGGTGTCCAAGGTGGAGCGAGTAGAAAAAGGCTGCCAGGCGAATTCACAACCCTGGGGTAGAGTAGGGGGTTGAGGCCCGGGAGAGTAGTCAGGCCAATCCCGGGAGAATGAGTGGCTGGCGAGCAGGAGCTCCTCCGGAAGGCAGGCCTCTCTTGCGCTCCAAAGAAAAGCACTAGGTCCGCCAGGGTCCCCGCAGCCCCCTTGGCAAACTCCTTCCTCTCCTGCACCAAACTTCGCGCAGGGCCTCGCTCCCTCGCGGCGCCCAGGGACGCTGCGGTGCGGGAAGGGTTAAGGCGGCCCGTCCCAGCTGACAGTCAGCTGATTGGGCCCTGATTGACAGCTCCGAAAAGTTTCCTTGTTTCTATACTATTATGCTAATCGTGGCCGCTCTCGCCGCCTCCCATTGGCCCGGAGTGCCAGTCAATTTCCCACTTGGGCCTGACGTCACAACTGCTATAAAACTCAGCAATTGCTTTAAACTCTTCTTGCTCGATCAGAGGCTTTAAAATCTTTTTTCTTCCTCGAGCTGTAGCTTGGGCTGCTTGTCGGCTCTGCCTCCCCCCACACTTTTGCTCCCTGCCTCGCCTTTCCCCAGGACTTTGCTATTTTGCTTTAAAAAAAAAAAAGGCCAGAAAGAACTAAACTCCCCCCTCCCTCTCCTCCAGCCCGGCTGCACCTCTGTCTTGCACTTTGCACAGAGGGAGAGGGAGAGAGAGAGCCAGAGCAAGAGAGGGAAAAAAAAAAAAAAAAAA